AATACAGAGAAGACAGAGAAATTCGAATAGTAGAGAAGCAGTATGAGTACGAAATAGCATCCAATGACCAGCCTAAACTACTATATAGCAACATTAGGAGGAAACACACCTAGATGAGTATACATACACACAAATTGTATACAAAATATTTGTCCGACCAGTAATAGCGTATACAGTACCAGCGTTGAATTTCACTTTAAAAATCTCAAAATGAAGATTAAGAAGATATACGTTTGCTGCAAGACTGGTCCTAGAATTGAGGGTACTGAGTTAAGGGGATAAATTGAGAAAATTTAGTCTAAGAACACTAAAACAAAGTGAAAATAATAAGATTGAAATCCAGAAGGATGCTTAGGTTAACCTGCAACATAGCGAGAGGGCACAGCACATGCAAGGAAGTTAGACACGCTTACTGAAAAGGGGGAGTATGTGAAAATAAGGGAATTCCTGCAGGAAGTGAAGCAAGAAACAGAAGTCAAAGAATCAGCCACAGTTCAGACGAGCACATCCTGAGGAAGGGTTGGAGGGTGGGATGATAACCACCTTCCAGTGAAGCTAAAACTAAATAAAACTGCTGGTGAAGCATTCGACACACCGGCCGTGACGGGGCACCTTCCCTGGCCTCCTCTACCTTCAACAACATACGCACCGAGGCGGCTCCCTGCTTCATCACTGTTACATGCTCATGGTGCAGTGGTAGTGCGTTGAAGCTTCCAGAGTAAACATACTAGAAAGTACATCGCTGTGTTTTGGTGCGTCGGAGAGGGAATACAACATTCAAATCCAGCTAATGACGTCATTGTAGGAGGAAAAATGCGTGAATGCGCTTAGGAAGTGCATTTAAGCATTCAACTTTTTACAGTCAGCTAAACTTAGTTTATTGTTAAAACAAAGGTCCGACAGGTTCGCGAAGTGTGTGTACGCAGTATGGATAATCCCAGTCGTTTATAATTCGTATTTATGGACATTTATCTCAATGTTCAAAGCTCTGACTTGAGACGTGATACATTCACTACCAGAAACTCTACATTAACCTAATCAAGACTATCCCACCATCAAAATTAAGGGCATGTTTAAAGCTGTGACTCGAAATACAAGGCAACAAATCCGCCAAATATTTTAGCTAAAAAATCATTGGAAATCTCACAGTTTTATCTTACAAATTACAGAAATGACTGATATTGTGCGAGGGTAAAAAACACCAACATGGCGGTAACACGCCCGGTACCCCAGGCTGCCCGCCTGCACTCCAGGTGACCGCCAGACTGGTATTATCCGGTGCTCGCGTGTACTAGGCTTGTTGTTCTTGCTCGCTTGATCATCTGTGCTCTCCTACTTGAGCGTCGGCTCTTTGGACCCGCCGCTCATCTGCCAATCTACTGGTGTACAGGTTCCTGAGCTTATTGAGCTCTATCAAGAGAGAGAGAGAGAGACAGGGAGAGCACACAAATTTAATCCACAATGGAATACGCAAATGTAATCCCCAGAAAGATAATGTCGTCCAAGCCACAACAAAACAGAGGCGACACAGACCTCCAGCATTAGCGTGTATGCAACAGCGGTCCTGTTACAAGAGGCTGGGAGGCAGGGCACGAAGACCAATAGACTTCACCATAATTGGCAGGTTGGCACACCCTGTAGAAACGCACACAAAACCAAACGTGACATTCTTGTATGTAAAATATGATTATTATTTGTGAGCTGGAAGAGCGTATGAGCTTCTTGACGGACCTGCAACAGAGGAAGGTAGAAATACCCGAAGCTCCTTACTCTGTCCTTTTGGGATGTAGTTTATTAGCTCAATAAACTTACTTAAACTTGACGTTCGTGATTAGAACTTTACTTGGGAACATACATATTTAGGCTAATAGTGGAACATACATATTCAGACCTGCTATCAGTGGAAAACAAACTAAATTGTAAAAAAAAAAAATTACATACACGGATAATGTTTATCGTGTATGAAGCCAATAGCAGTTCAAAGCACTTTACAACAATAACATATATTAAACAAAAAATATCTTATTTTTTAACTACAAAGTTATAAAATACAATCGAAATCCAGCTGAAGCAACAGTAGACCAAATAATGTAGAGGCAGCCTACTACTTCAGTGCTATATTCAAGACGTGTGGCATAGTCCAAGGGCTATATTCAAGACGTGTGGCATAGTCCAAGGGCTATATTCAAGATTTATGGCATAGTCCAAGGGCTATATTCAAGACGTGTGGCATAGTCCAAGGGTTATATTCAAGATTTATGGCATAGTCCAAGGGTTATATTCAAGACTTATGGCATAAGCCAAGGGCTATATTCAAGACTTATGGCATAGTCCAAGGGTTATATTCAAGACTTATGGCATAAGCCAAGGGCTATATTCAAGACGTGTGGCATAGTCCAAGGGCTATATTCAAGACGTGTGGCATAGTCCAAGGGCTATATTCAAGACGTGTGGCATAGTCCAAGGGTTATATTCAAGACTTATGGCATAAGCCAAGGGCTATATTCAAGACGTGCAAGCATAAGCCAATATTCCCTGTGTACTGAACAAACTCACAAGGGCCGTGATGAGAGTTCGAACCTACGGCCGGGATGATCCCAGACGCGCCTTAGTCGACTGTATACTGACCTTTAATCCGACGTTATTTGCATGGGGATTAAGGGATAAAAGGGACCATTCTTGATGACCTCCTCCGCTACCTGGGACTCCAGCTGCCCCTCACCTTGCACCTCTCTATTGTACCTGCCTCCCTCAGGACTACTGTACCTGCCTCCCTCAGGACTCAGCCCGTCCTCCTAAGGTTTACCAACGTCAAGAAAACGGTCAATTTATAGTGTTCTCTCCTAACCTACCAGAGGACCCAAAACAGAAAACGGAACGTTACGTCACTTTCGCGAGCCGCTTCCATTTTCTAGCACGATAATGTTTGGCCTTATGTAACGCATACGAGCGAAATGCGACGTTCGTTGTAGGTTGACAGGTTGCATGACTACTGGACCTGCCTCCCTTCAACTAGCCAGAACTGGTGCCCAGAGAGCCATCAGAGGTAGACGGGAACGTTGGGAGAGTAGAAATAGCCTAAGCTACTCTATCCTTTTGAGATGTATTTCTTTCTTGTCTCAATAAACATACTGGAACCTGAACGGGAACACTGGAGAACTATGTCTCCACTATCAGTGTTAATCAGTGTTAATGTTAAAGGTGGCACGGGCATGAATAGCCCGTAAGTGATAGCCCTTTTGAGCCATTATCAGTATCAATAGATGATACTGGAGAACTGTGGAGGTGCGACTGCGCCCTGCGTGACGGGAGATGTCTCCCGTGTTCCCTGGTGGGTGAGTCACGCCCTTGGTACTACCGCAGGCGCCTTCGGTACTCCAACAATCCAACAATGATTTCCATGTACTTCCTGATCTTCAGTCCAATCTGTCCCTTTGCCACTGGAGGACGGCGGCCTCCGTCGGTATTCACTGTGTGATGCTCCGCTGTCTCCCTCTGTGTATCTCTGAGGATTTGTTGAATATTTATTGCAAGGTTATTAAGATGTTGCTGCACCCGTCCTCTTACCTTATGTATTTGTGGAATCGACCAAATCGTTAAAAATCCGACGTATTAGTAAATTTATAGCACCTTATTATTGACGTTTTCTCTGCATTGTCCTCGATAGGTTAGGTGGGCTGCTGAGGTTTGTACGTTTCTGGTTAGTCAATACAGTTGGATTTTTTAGTAGGTGGTACGCAAGGCCTGGCTCAAGGCTGTAGCTCTTGAGACCCGACACACCGGCCACTTCCCCTGGCCGTCTTCGTCACGCTAATTATTGTGCATCTTCAGTGGTTTTAGAATATAAGTGTTGCCTTGCTCCCTCCCTTCCAGTTTGTCATCTTGGCATTTGTGTTCGTAACGCCCTTTATGTGAGTAAATCAGTTGTAACCTTTCTTTTTGACCTAGAGAAAGTGTGCAACTATCTGGAAATATTAGGCTCAATTACATTCCTTCCCAGGCAGTTTGTCTCTCTCTCTCGCTTAACCAATTTATATCTATTGTTTCGTGTTCCATTTGTTTTGCTATATTTAGTACCTTATTGCTATATTTAGTATATTTAGTACCTTATTGCTATATTTAGTACCTTATTGATATCTCCCTTGAGACAATCAATTGGCACCTCACGGTGATTCGAATCAGCGATCCGGGTTTATCCCTGTACTACGACAGCGCTCAAATTGTTTTTCTCATTGACTTATCACGTTAGTGTGTTTTTTTGTGTAATATCCCGCTTGTCATACCCATTCATCCACATTAACAGTCCCCGTGGCGCAATGGTAACACACTCGCCCCGCACTTCGCGAGCGATATGGCCTGGGGTTTGTATCATGGCCGGGGAGGATTGACTAGGCACCAATTCTTAACTGTATGCCTCTATTCACCCAACAGTGATTGGGTACCTGATTGTTAAACGATTGACGAGTCGTATTCCAGGGACACTAGTGAGTAAGTAAGGCTTACCATGACCTAAGGGAAGGGAAAGCTCTCGGCCTGCTAACAGGAGTCAGCAGTCGTCTGTTACTGTACCCATCTGTGTAAAAAAAACAAAAATGTACACTTCGATCATGTCATCCTAACTCTTCACCTCTCTAGAAAATGCAAATTAGGCTTTTGTGTTGAGATTAACTCCACCACAATATCATCCTGACCAACCAGCAAGTTTGGTGATGGGCTTAAGGTTATCAGTCTCTAGAGGGTTATTAAGATCACCCCAATAGCTTACTGGCCAACCAACAAGTAAACCTTGAGACCTGAGCATAGTTTATGACTAAGGTAAACTCAGTGTATATACACCGAGAAGTTGGTACACCTCTCAGTGTATACGTATATCCTAAATTGTTCCTGCTATGTACTGGTAAAGATTTAGGGCGAGATGTTAAGATTTAAGGCAATCGATTTAAGGATAATTCATTAGATTTAAGGCAATCGCTTTTAACCCTTCCCCTTTACCTCCACAGGTGCAGGACAAAACAAGTGACGATGAGCAACCTGAAAGTGCACGTGGTTCGTCTGAAGCCTGGAGACGAGGTGGGTGGTTCAAGTATGTTTATTGAGACAAGAAAATACATCTCAAATGGATAAAGTAGCTTAGGCTATTTCTACCCCCGTGTGGTGGGTGGCGGTGGTGGTGTAGGACTCGCTGCTGACGCTCTCAAGGGCTGCTGGGCTTACACAAGCACCCAGCGTGTTGATGTCGGCTGCTGCTGCTTCGCCCCGCTTGCATGAGGCGTCTATACCTGAGCTTGTGATGCTTCCTTACAACTCTGTTAAAAAATACATCTGCCTTTCTGATGCTCGCTAACGTGAGCCTCGCTACATTCACACGTAATAATTCACGCCCATAACTCACCAAAAAACAAATTAATCATAGATGTTTATACACTTATAAATGAGATAGCTTACAGAAAATTCCAGCACATTATTTACCTAAGAAAAAATAACAATAACAGCGTGATACGTAATCATTATGATTATATACTCTATAAACTAGATTTAGATTTAGAAGTTATATTTGTCAGTGATTTATAAAAATCATTACAGTTATAGCTGGAGTAGATATCAGAATGCAGAGGCACACGACACAATCAATTACAGTGTACTGTTGTTGATTGTATGTAGATTGTGAAAAACACAGTGTTTCATAGCGACGATATGTTGACACAAGCACTGGGCCTCTCGCTCAGTAAACTTTGCCACACGTGTTGCTTGGAGACCATATGTTGACATAAACACTGGTCCTTCTCACACAGTAAACACTTCCCCATAACAAGTATGAGTTAGTTTCTTTCAAAACAGCATACGTATTCGAGGAGGGAGAGGGTGTGGAGATCACAACCTGCTAGATACAGGCAGGATGGATCACATCCAAAACAATGAACACTACAATGCTGCGTGGATCTCAGTATTATCACTTCAAGCACGGATGGCGGCTGCCCAACCACCTATCAATATTCACACCAGAACTGAATGCCACCAAACCCTAAAAAATAGTAACCACGTCTGTTGGGGAATACACGGTCTACAGCGACTCCAAAAGTGCAATACAGGTCATTGTATTCTGCTCCAAGACAAGCAAAGTCTACCTGCCTACAGCTCCTCCATGGTCACCACTTGGATGGACATTCAATGAGTGACTGCCAGAATATTGTGGAGTATTTCACGATGACATTGTCGATAAATTCGTAAAAACAATATACAACAAAACGCACATCGCACACAACCAACTCCACATATTGCACGGAGAGGAGCTCAACACTCCATCATCACCCAAGTCGCAGCAAAATGAAAAACATGAAGCTCCTCAACCTGCAAGACAACCATCAACGCATCTCAGAAGCCTTGGATAGATAGATATAAAAAGAAATTGCGTCAAGCCATTACGACTATATAACACTTGGAATGCATCAGGATAAGGATTTGGGATGGGACGAGGGGAAGGAATGGTGTCCAACCACTTGGACGGTCGGGGATTGAACGCTGACCTGCATGAAGCGAGCCCGTCGCTCTACCGTCCAGCCTAAGTGGTTGGCTCAGATCCTTGGAAACACACATCGTACAGAGAAACAGACGTACCAAAGACCAGACTAAGGCTGGAACTCGCCAAACTAGCAACACAGCTATATAAACTAGACAAAACATAAATGCATCCGCACATTCAATTTTTGAAAATACTTTCATCTATCGAGATGTATTTTATATTAGCAATAAATATTTTCAAGCTTTTCATCACTACCCTTATAACTTCATGGATCTTACCCTTTAGGGTATTTTATAACCAAAACAATACTCACAGATAGGTGTTGTGAGGCTTCCACGGGAAGAATCAACCTTGACATCACGGCAACACATTTAGGTTCAAATATTATTTATACATCTCGCCATGTACACCTTCTGTGGTTGAATGTTCAATAAACCCTTGAACTATATGTTTAACACTTCTCTAACCCTGTCCATGGAGGACAGAAGAAAATGTATATATGATGGTTAGCATTGTAAATGTGTGGCCACGTCTGTGGTAGAAAATAATAATAAAAAAAAATAAAAAAAAACAGCGTTGGTACTTTGTGAGGACCCATTTCATAACTTTGTTTATTTTTAAGACGAACATGGTGAATGGTGGGAGAGTATATCTGATCGTGGTTGGTGGTTATTACAGGTGAAGGAGAAGCTGGAGGAGTACGTGAAGCGGGAGGCGGTGAGGGGGGTGGTGGTGATGACCTGCTGCGGCTCCGTCGTCAGCGCCACACTCCGTCTCGCTGCGGGACCCGACGGTGCTACCAACAAGGTAAACATTGACCTCACACTTGTAGCACTCTGTTGGCCATCACTCTTCTATACACTCTCACTCTCAGAAAACTACACTGTCTTGGTATATTCGTGTAAATCTGTAATATATCGAGCAAATATTGTTAGATATGTAAACATTTAGTTAATAGTGTTCGTGCTGACTCCGTGGATGACCCAAGAGGAACTTCTGTGTTTGGAAGTAGCGCTCAAACTCAAGTTTGGGGTCCTGTGAAGTCTCTTAGTGTTTACTTCAAATGGATAAAACATATTCATTCAGGGTAAATAAGTCCATAAACTTTATTGTGAAAGTATTGTGAGTTGATATAGTTCAAGGGGGTACCTGAGTAACAGAAACACCTCATTCCTTTTCAACGGGGGGGGGGGGGGGGGTTAAATTTTGTACTCTGAACTGGGTACACCTAAGGGTGGAGTGCTTAGCCCAACACTGTTCAATATCTCACATTAATAACTGACAGTCCCACACTAGCTGACAAAGCTGTCAGCTGATGACATTTGTGTTGTTGCAAATCCCCTAACTAGATTGCAACCTTTACTTGCTTTCTTTGCTTTCTTTGGTTTAACCAATGTCACACTCCATTCTACCATTCATTCCACGTACTTGTAATATCCTTGTCAGTGTTTCATGTGGTACCATATCAAACGCTTTAAGAGAAGTCCTTGTTTACTACACCTACTGAAAGTTCTTTGCATGAAAAGCTGGTTACCCTTTCCAAATGTGAGCAGGTTTGTAAGGCAAGGTTTATTTTTAACAAAATCACGTTGCGTAGATTTGACTAGATTTTTTGTTGATATAATGAAGGTATTGTATGTTGATATAGACTTCTTGGTGCAGGTATTGTAGAGTTGATAGAACTTTTGCTGCAGGTATTGAGTTGATACAGGCTTTTTGGTACAAGTATTGCGAGTTTATACAGACTTTCTGGTGCAGGCATTGTGAGTTAGGCAAGGCGATCGATTGGCTGTTATGGATGGCAAACAACTGAACAATGAGCAAGGAGGTTTAGGAAGTTTTACATTATAAAGTAAATAGGGCTAGATATACTATGTCAATCGCAACTTATATTGATAACACTAAGATCTTGATTTATATACGATCAACATTTCGAAGGAGCCAGTGCTGGAGAACATAAAAATAATGGAAATTACAGAAAGCGCATTGTTTCCTACGAAACACCTTTTTCCTTTTTATTGTATGACTTGATAATTTGGTTAGCTTTTTTCTTGTGCAATTTATAGAGCTAAGAAAACATACAACATACACTCTTAAAATCCTGCAATCTAGACAGCTGCACAGAATGTAAAGATTAAATAAAGTAATCACGTTATCGGTGCTTGGAGACAGATCGAAACGTACAAGAAGCACTTCGAGGTGGTTGGGATGTCTGGGACGATCAGCCCGAGTGGGACCCACCTGCACATCTGCCTCAGTGACCACCAGGGCGCCGTGGTGGGCGGTCACGTCATGGGCGATCTCGTTGTCTTCACCACCATGGAGGTCGCTCTCGGAGAAGTAATTGATGTTACACTTGGCCGTGAACACGACCCTGCTACAGGCTTTGATGAGCTAACTGTCACTAAAGACAGAGCCTAAACCATAACTCTCACAGGCTACAGTAATCTTACCGAAGCCTAAGGTAATCTTTCCACAGGCTTCGTTGAAATGGCGAATGAATGAAATGGCGACCAAGCCTGAACAACCCCATCAAGAGCTTCAATAAACTGACTTAAGGTAATTAGTCTCAATATAAATGTTAATAAATTAATGAAAATATTTTATATATTTAATTTTGTTCCTTGAATATTCTATAAACGTCTTTGGAAAGAGTACAAATATTATATCCGTGTCGTCTCGACATACTTCTATATATTTGACAGTCAGTACACAGACTGTAAAAAGCATATAGCAAATATCGAGATTTGTAGTAACTTTTGAGCCCATTTGTCTGCGCTGCCATGATCTATGCCATATTTTTACAATATAATGCGTGATAAAAAAATATTCTGAAATGTTTTGTGTATTCTTGTTCAACAGGATAATTAAATGCCCGTGTAACATCTCTATTGGTTAGAAAATATATATATATATATATATATATATATATATATATATATATATATATATATATATATATATATATATATATATATATATATATATATATATATATACAAAGCTTGTGTAGAGTAGAAGACAGTGAGAGTATTGGGTCAGACAGGTTGGGGGTGGATCTGGATTCAACGTGGATTCTCTATATCAAACAAAAAGCCATTAAGGTGTCAATCTTGATACGCACCATTAACTATGCTAGAGCTTGAGAAGGGGGGCTAAGGCTATTCTGTGACTCTCATCTGCCACACTCACGCGAAGCTAAAGAATGGCAATATGGCACCCGATTGTTCCATGAGTGTGGAAATAGGTTTCTAGCAGCACTTGTTACTCCAGCGACACAGCATAGCAATACAGTACAGTGTATAGCAACACACTTTAGCAACCATTGTGTGTGTAGGACGAGGGAGGCCCACAATAATTAAGTTTATCTTTTCTGTAAGCCCCAAAGGTTGAGAGGCCATGAGTCGAGGTGACTTCTACAGGGTTTTTGGAAGCACTCCAGATGTCCTCGCTCAAGAAACTAGATAAAATATACCAGAAAGGTTAGCCAGTAGTGCCTTGGTTTCTAAATACACTCTTCACTAACTCTCTCTCAACATGGAATATTTTTTGTACATCTACATTTGTGCAGCTTCCCTAGACTATATGAAGGGGGAGTACAGTGTGTCAAAAAGCTAGCTACGTGGTGCTAAAATCCCCATCACACAGGATGGTTAGTCATACAGAGGCATGTGATAAGCAGTCTGCACTGGCAAACTCTGTGTATTATGAGGATATCATCATGAACACAAGAGTGAATAAGGTAACAGTGATACCTTTGCATGGAATATAATGATCAGCTGACCTTAAAACTCTCTTGAAAACAAAACCACAATAATCAGACTTCACAGAAGTCGCTGGGAATAGCAAAATGAGCTGATCTTTAGTTGAGAGGGGGCTATAGGATTGACCCCGACCCGCCTTTGATAGTGCCCCTAATACCCCATGTGTCATCGTGCAAAGTTTGGTTAGGTTAGATTCAAGCACCTGACCTCCAACCTTAGACAGACAGCCAAACATTCAGTGTATGCAGACAAGAGAGAATGTCTGTTTGTCTGTCTGTCTACCTGTCCAAGGTTGGAGGCCAGACTCTTGGGACTAGCCTCACCCAATTTTGTACGGGACGGACATTGGCTCGTCGGGGTCGGTCCTATTAGGAAGGAATCGAGCCCCATAGTAACACTCCTACATCATTGGTGAAAGTTAGCCGGCCAAGTCCCCTAATTTCTTCACCAGAAAAAAATAATACGTGAATTCAATATTACATGTTCCGAGACGGGAGAGGGAAGGAGAAAGGGGTAGACAGGTGAAGAGTGGGTATTCTGGGTATGAACTTAGCTTTGTTTTTAATATTAGTCATATGCCATAATATATTAGTACAGGTATCCACGAGTAACCATGATATTTGTCAAAAGACCTCACTTCCTCCTAGCTGCTGTAATTCTCACTTCCTTCACCAAGGGGCTTGCAAACATATATATGTTTTCATTATTTATCCAGACCAAAGAACACATATACATTTTCACATACAAGAATTTGGACACGGTACATAAATTTCGTTTAGGAATACAGGAAGGTGATAAGTTACATACATGTATCGCATTCACATAGAAATGCACGTCATTCGCTAATTATGTAAGATTTATTAACTGGTGAGGTGAACATCCTCTACAGAAGCACTCTAGAAAATGTAAACAAAAAAGCTAGTTATTATCACATTAAGTAACTACACACACAAGATACTCTAGGTACACTAGCTACTCTGGATAATGTAGATACACTAGATATTCTAGAATCTGGATACTGCATTTTTAAAGCTATTTTAATATTTCTGAATATCATATTGAACCTATTTAACAACTTATTAAAAATTACTTTAAATATCTCGTCAGACTGTCTTGGCGTTCACTGAGAGCTATTGCATCCGGTTCTTAGCCCCTGGTCATGAAGACAATGTGTCGAGCAGCCAAAGGATATTTCCAGACATTTCTTACGAAGTATGGATCAAGATGAGACAAAATAGAGCTCTTTTCTATGATAAACACACTAGACAAAGCTGCTTGGTCAGTAAAAATAATATTAAATCAACATACATCCAGTATTCCCTCTGATCTAATATTTACCTATCATTGCCCTTCAAGATCCATATTCTCACCTTATCTAGTCTAATATTTCTCAGTATCTATGATATTGCACAACCCATCCTCCTATTTAGATAGTACCTATTGTGACGATCGTCAATAGTCACGAATTCGTACGTTCTTAGCCTTCAGATAATAGTATACTGACTAGTAAGGAATTCTTTTAAAATAAATGAAGTTAAAAAACAAACTTAAATATTCCTATACCTAGTAAAGCACACATATGTGCTATATTAGGCCTTTCACATTTCTTCTACACTCCGTGTCTTCGTCTCTCGTGAGTTCCTCATTTAGTTTGATCACTGTCAACGTCGTTCCGTCGTCGATGTCCAACGTTACAGATCGGCTCCCAGTCTCTCAATCTCACTAATTACGAAGTCCATGTGCTCGTGTGTGGGCGTAGGCGTGCAGGTGGTGACCATCCGGATGAAGTTGACTAGATTCTTGCAGGCGATGGGCTGGTACCCGACCATCATAGTTCCCTGCTTCACCATCCGCGCCTTCAGTTCTGGAGCAACCTGAGGACAACATCAACATTTAAGAAGTTGTTATTCACCTCATAAGGTAAGTTAAGAAAAGTATCAGGAGACAGCACTAAACTAGTATGACTATATGAGACCTGACGGGACGAGAACTGGTTAAGAGCTAGTATAGTGGGACAGACTATGAGGAACGGAATGAAGGAACGGTGACCAACCGCTTGAATCCTCGGGGAATCGAACGGTGACCCTGCCAACAGTGAGGTCACTGCTCCAACTTGCGCCCAGTGAATGGTCACAACTCGTGTTAGAAGTACACGTAAGAGATCCTACTGGCGTGTCCAGGGTGGGGCCGGCCTATGTACTGAAGAACTACGCATCTGTCCTGAGCAGCTTAACATTGTAAATAATATAATACAAGTATCATTTACAATGATACTGACAGCCAAAATTTAGAACCCAAACAATTTGTTGTATACAGTATACAAATCGCCACAGAGTAACCGGAAGCTCTAGCAAAGAATGCATCATAGATTTTGTGTCGTCAGAAGTTCTATGAAAGATTGTATCATTCTTCCATAAGAGATTGTGGTTGACACGGATGCACAAATTAACTAATACTTCCCAGCGTCATAATGTTAATTGCTCCTTCCAACATTAGTTTCACTTCCCAAAATAATATTTGTCTTTTTCGATGTAATAAAATAAAATGTTCCATGTAAATTGTGACCAAACAAAATTATTCGAATAAGGCACGAAATACGCTTGAAGCTATTATAGTCATGTTCAACAAATACTTTATCTGCAATTAAAAGTTGATAGTTAACAATAACAGTGATAATCTCTTCTGTAAACATACTGAAAACTGTTATGGTGTTCCTGGCGACTGCACATCACATCAGAGTTATACTAGCATAACAATATTGTTCTCCAAGTTAAAAATTTATCTGAAATTAATGTACATTTAGAACAACACCCTCGACACACAGACAGAAGAGTAAGAGGAGACATGATCACCACCTACAAAATTCTCAGAGGAATTGACAAGGTGGACAAAGACAAACTGTTTAGCACGGGTGGGACACGAACAAGGGGACACAGGTGGAAACTTAGTACGCAAATGAGCCACAGAGACATTACAAAGATTTTTTTCAGTGTCAGAGTAGTTAACAAATGGCATGCATTAATTAGTAATGTGGTGGAGGCTGACTCCATACACAGTTTCAAATGTAGATATGATAGAGCTCAATAAAGTCAAGAATCTGTACAACAGTTGACTGACTGTTGAGAGGCGGGACGAAAGAGCCAATGTTCAATACTCTCTCTAATATTGTGAGAGAGTATGAAAAGTATTAAACGCAATACAAACACATTACACGCAATCATAACTATATGAGTGTACACACAACGCGCTTATCACATACACAACGCACAGTATACACATACAACGAAATTAACACATAACACATACCTACACAACACACAAACAATTTTGCTTCACTTTTTTTTTTTTTTTTTTTTTTTTTTGAGATATATACAAGAGTTGTTACATTCTTGTACAGCCACTAGTACGCGTAGCGTTTCGGGCAAGTCCTTAATCCTATGGTCCCTGGAATACGATCCCCTGCCGCGAAGAATCGTTTTTTCATCCAAGTACACATTTTACTGTTGCGTTAAACAGAGGCTACAGTTTAAGGAATTGCGCCCAGTAAATCCTCCCCGGCCAGGATACGAACCCATGACATAGCGCTCGCGGAACGCCAGGCGAGTGTCTTACCACTACACCACGGAGACTGCTGTCACTGTCCACTACTCGCATCCCAAATCGTTCTCTCCATTTGCCACTCCGTTTTATATAAAATTAAGTAAAATGCTTTACTCAACACAAAACTATAAACTCAAGGAACGTCATGAAACTGAATGTCAGCATTAAGTTTCTTTGTTTAATAATTCGTCGTATTATAACGGATTGGTCGATTCCGTAAAGCTGTGACTGACGTATTATGCGAGAGGACGCTACAGCATTCACATAGTATCATGACGCTTTGTCATTTCCAGACGATCTTTATGTAATAAGATCGTGATTTCCATGACATGAACAGAGATGTTGACGGAGACAAAATATAATTCAGCATCACGGCCCAAGGTGTGCTGAGGCATTGCACCGCGTCCAGCAACACATACTAATTATATGGTAGCTATGCTGTCAACTACCTTGCTTCTGTGGTCTGTTCCTCTGGCTGCTGTTAGTATTGGTTCAAGGTCAACCTTTTGGTTCCTGGTGACCTTCACGGTCTTGGCTGTTTCTCGTTGCCACGACATCATTTCATCTTTCTCTGATTGTTACAAAGAAATAAGGATCTTGCTCTTACAAGTATTTGCATTCTCTCATGTTTCTAAATAATTATCACCATTCTGCCCAGTTTCTCTTCTGATTGTCCCATCCATGAAAATATAGGAGACGCCTTCTGAATCTTGTTGTTGAAGATTCGCTGCCTGGAACAAAAAGTTCCAAGTAGCACGGGCTATGGTGAGCCCGCAGTTCTGACTCCTCTTAGCAAGCTTAGAGCTTTCCATTCCCATAGCTTTAAGCCTTACCCCATTAGCCGTCTCCTAATGCCTTACAGCCCGCACCATAGGATAATAAGAAGAAAAGAAAACCAGTAGGCCTATGGTCTATATCATCCTCATTTACTCATGTTTACCTATTATTATAGTCAATACAGCGACGGTTTTCCTTCTTGTAGGATCTATGTTCGATCCCCAATGGTCCTAGTGGTTGGGCACCGTTCCTTCATTCAGCCCTATTATCCCAGCTCTTGTATTGTCTCACTAGCGACTTCCCCAAGGAAACATTATAATAATATAATACATTAATACAATATCACCATGAAGATGTATTATCTCCTGCCCTCACCTTTGAGAGTTTGACCCACCACTCTGGGGTCTCTGGGAGGCCCCTGAGGCTCGCTGGGATGTACCAGAAGCAGACGTTGGTACACTGTGGCTCTTGTACCAGCCTGAAGCCAGGACGGCCGGCTACCTTCTTACTCAAGTACCTGGGATAAGGAGACAATGAGTTCCTAAACATTGGTGTATATAAGCACCTACCACAGTCATATTCACCTAAACAGTAGCCTAATGTTTTGTCAATGGGTTGAAATAATCTGGCTGTATATAATTTATACTTAAGATGAAAACTGAATACAAAAAGCATCAGAATGTCGTTTGATCAGCATTCTCATACAAACATTTAGTCTCTTAATGGGTTCCTTAAAGAAAAATCTGCGGCGATACTTCTCGTAGTCTTCAAGTGTTGTAATTGATAAAACAACGGTTCTTCTTTTATCTCAAAGATAACCTGTACGAGCTTTACACTTCCACCAGACGACCACCACCACGATATACCCACCTGGAGGCGCTGAAGGCAGCATCAACCCTCTTCTCGAGGGCGTCCAAGCCGTGGAACTTTAGGAAGACCCATAGCTTGAAGGCGTCGACCTTGCGCCCACACTGGACGCTCTTGTCGCCAGTGTCGTAACTCACGTCGTAGTGTTTGTCTTGCTGGAACAGATACGTCGCCCGCGCAGAGTTGCACTTTTGCAGAAGGCCCTGTGGGAGATCTTAATATTGTAATTGAACCTTCGAAAGACTCATTTATTTTCGCCAAAGCACCAGACAAAAACTATTAAAATTTAAATCAAAGTATTTGACAAATATGGACTAAGGCCCTGAACCCCCCAAAAATCCAGAAACCATTGCATCAAGCCAGAAGTATTACATGTACGCAATGTAATCTAGCAGAAAACCCGATAGTCTACAAATATTAATATGGCAATTGCATCTTGGTGTTGGGGTTGAGAGAGACGTAGCGGACATAAGGAGAAGTTACTCACCCTATGTTTGGTGAGGAAGACGGAACACTGGAGGGACGTTCCCAGCATCTTGTGAGGGTTCCAGGCCACCGAGTCTGCCCTGGGAAGCAATATTACATCAGTCACTAGCTCCAGGACAGCTTGGATAGGTAGCGAAATGTATAGCAAACATGGAATGCAACTAGATTATTGAAATATATGTAGACAATGAGAGACGAATAATATTAACACAATGGAGGTGAAGTAGCCACCCTACCTAGCAACCCACATTAGCCACCCTACCTAGCAACCCACATTAGCCACCCTACCTAGCAACCCACATTAGCCACCCTACCTAGCAACCCACATTAGCCACCCTACCTAGCAACCCACATTAGCCACCCTACCTAGCAACCCACATTAGCCACCCTACCTAGCAACCCACATTAGCCACCCTACCTAGCAACCCACATTAGCCACCCTACCTAGCAACCCACACTAGCCACCCTACCTAGCAACCCACATTAGCCACCCTACCTAGCAACCCACATTAGCCACCCTACCTAGCAACCCACATTAGCCACCCTACCTAGCAACCCACACTAGCCACCCTACCTAGCAACCCACATTAGCCACCCTACCTAGTAACCCGCACTAGCCACCCTACCTAGCAACCCACATTACCCACCCTACCTAGCAACCCACATTAGCCACCCTACCTAGCAACCCACACTAGCCACCCTACCTAGCAACCCACACTAGCCACCCTACCTAGCAACCCGCACTAGCCACCCTACCTAGCAACCCACATTAGCCACCCTACCTAGCAACCCACACTAGCCACCCTACCTAGCAACCCACATTAGCCACCCTACCTAGCAACCCGCACTAGCCACCCTACCTAGCAACCCACACTAGCCACCCTACCTAGCAACCCACATTAGCCACCCTACCTAGCAACCCGCACTAGCCACCCTACCTAGCAACCCACATTAGCCACCCTACCTAGTAACCCGCACTAGCCACCCTACCTAGCAACCCACATTAGCCACCCTACCTAGTAACCCGCACTAGCCACCCTACCTAGCAACCCGCACTAGCCACCCTACCTAGCAACCCACACTAGCCACCCTACCTAGCAACCCACACTAGCCACCCTACCTAGCAACCCACACTAGCCACCCTACCTAGCAACCCACACTAGCCACCCTACCTAGCAACCCACACTAGCCACCCTACCTAGCAACCCACACTAGCCACCCTCACTAACTACTCTTAACTAGCAACCTACACTAGCCATCCTCACTAGTATTGCTAACGAGCTACTCACTAATAATTACCAATAGCCACCCTCACTAGCAACCATCATAAGCAACAATTTCTACCAACACCTGACTAGCAAGAACCACTAGCCACTCTTACCTATCCACTCCAGCCATCAGGTGCTTGTATTTCTTTGAGAGCATAGCAGTACCGCCCCAGCACGCCTGAGAGAAAGAGAAGAGGACTCAGCGTTAGCTTGGGCACCCCACACATGCACCACACACCCCACACATGCACCACACACTAGGCTCCCACACCCCACACATGCACCACACACTAGGCTCCCACACCCCACACATGCACCACACACTAGGCTCCCACACCCCACACATGCACCACACACTAGGCTCCCACACCCCACACATGCACCACACACTAGGCTCCCACACCCCACACATGCACCACACACTAGGCTCCCACACCCCACACATGCACCACACACTAGGCTCCCACACCCCACACATGCACCACACACTAGGCTCCCACACCCCACACATGCACCACACACTAGGCTCCCACACCCCACACATGCACCACACACTAGGCTCCCACACACCACACATGCACCACACACTAGGCTCCCACACCCCACACATGCACCACACACTAGGCTCCCACACCCCCCCCCACACATGCACCACACACTAGGCTCCCACACCCCACACATGCACCACACACTAGGCTCCCACACCCCACACATGCACCACACACTAGGCTCCCACACCCCACACATGCACCACACACTAGGCTCCCACACCCCCCACACATGCACCACACACTAGGCTCCCACACCCCCCACACATGCACCACACACTAGGCTCCCACACCCCACACATGCACCACACACTAGGCTTCCACACACACACTATAAGAAAGATTCCTTCGCTGCTTCGGAGTTGTGGTTACAATGCATTGGTAGAGTGATTATGCAATTAGCGCTCGTCTCAAAAAATGGAACAGAAACGGTAAGACAGGTTTTTTCTATAGTAAATTTATATTTTTCTATAGTAAGAAAAATAGAGAAAAATATTTTTTCTCTTTTTCTTACATTTTTATAGAACGTAAGATTTCTCTAAATTATTTAAACAATTTAAATCTAGATATATGTATGTATGTGTATACAGGATATGTGGAAGCTGGTCAGAACTGCATTTCACCTTTGAAAACGCAAATTAATGACACTATGTAGAAAGACACCTCGAACACTGTTTATGTAGAACAGACGTAAATCTGTGTATTACTGTTAGATTAGCATTTTAAAAGCACCGAATCACCTTCTGTGGTTGAGTGTTCAATAAACCCTTGAACTATATGTTTAACACTTCTCTAACCCTGTCCATGGAGGACAGAAGAAAATGTATATATGCTGATTAGCATTGTAAATGTGTGGCCACGTCTGTGGTATAAAAACAAAACCAATTTCATCATATAGTTCAATAGACTTTAAAAGGTGATTTTTCACTAATGTATACTGTATCTGATTTGAAGTTTGTTAAACCAACAATGCCTTTTTATAAATAAAAGAAATTCATTAAGAATAATCTGATTTTTTTTTACTGAACTGTATAGTGTGAGGAAGCGTTTGAGAAACATGATAACATGATTGAAATATATAAATAGATGAAAGGGTATAACAGAGATGAAAGGTGTTAAACATACCAATTCAAAATAGAACACAAAGCAATGAACATAAATTGGATAAGTGTAGATTCAGTAAAGACCTGGGTAAATACTGGTTTGGAAACGGTTGTTTGATTTATGGAATAAATTACCGGTTAACATAATAGACAACCCATTCTCATTCAATTATAATAGTTATAGTAACAATTTGGTCGAGTATGTACTGCTGGACACAAAAAAGTTCACGTTCTGTACTACAAATTTTATAGTCCAAGAAAACGCTAAATCCCAATGTTAAACATTTCCAGGTCTAGAATAGCATATATATGTACTATATTAGGCATTAGGCCTTGGACTGCTCTTACTGGTTAGGTTAGGTGCTTTGGTTACATTACATATTTAAACGAATGCTTTTGGGGTAATTAAGTAGTACAAACCGTGAACTTTTGGGGGTTCAGCAGTATATGTTGGATTGGGATGTTTGACCAATTAGTTGATATAGGTATTATCATTTTAGGAGGATGTGTTGTAATAGACGAGGGATCGCTGGATTGTTTCAAACGTAGGTTATACATACGACTGAGATTGGGCGGACAGGGCTGCTTCGTATGGATCAATGGACCTTCTGCTTAATTATTATGTTCTAATGTAATTGAAATAACAGGTGAGAGATGTACTGGGAACATTATGGACTATGGGAATATTATATGGCATATTATGAACATTGGTGACAGTCCAGTTGCTAAAGTCATTTAAGTCTTAATAGCAGTAAATATTTTGAGGATGCAGAAGCGTGTACATTTAAAGTTAGCTATTGCAGTCCTTGAGATAACAAGTTTTAATGGCAGTAAACTATTAAAGTTAGCTGCATAATTACTGAGGTACTAAGTATTTATAAGTTCTGATAGCTATAAAAATTAAAGTTGGTTTAGCCACCTAGATTGTAAGCAAATTAAGTTTTAATAATAAGCCATTAAAGTCAACTAATGTAATCAAGAAGGTACTTACGTCAACGTGGAGCCAGAGACCTTCCTGGTGGCATACATCGGCCAGCTCTTGAAGAGGGTCGAAGGCCCCGAGGACGGTGGTGCCAGCCGTGGCGTTGACGAAGAAGGGCTCAGCGCCCCTCTCCCTCGCTGCCGCAACAGCCTTCACCAGCTCTTCCGCCTTCATCCTCCCCTGACTGTCTGAAGCAACACTTACAACATTGTCCATCCCAACACCCAGCCACGAGGCGCCCTTGCTCACTGAATAATGTCCCTGTGGAGTAATGCATCTCTTTTTCACGGCAATACGCTTTTTGAAGGATTCACAAATATACATATCGTTATTGTACTGTATTTAGACAAACAGCTGTAGCTAGGAATGTATTGAGCTAATGACAGACAGCTGGAGAGAGGAACAATACAAACCTGATCTGAGGTGAACGCCACGAGGGGTTTGAGGCCAAACACTCCGGTCCTCTTCACGTCTGGATACTTCTTGTATCTGGCCATCACCATACCGTACATGTTACTCAAGCTTCCACCTGTAAGTCAGGGTTCCTGGTCACTATCCACACAACTGACCACACTCGAGTCTCGCCTTTACTGATTACAACCAACCACTTGGATGGTTATTACTTATTTCATTCGTTATATTAAACATATGCCAGTGCAAAATATGGGTGATTAATGTCATTTCAAGGAGGAATGATTGGAATCTCTCTCAGATTATATATATGCCAGAGTCCATACCGGAGTCAAAACTTCCTGGGACCTAGGCGTGTGTTGGATCGTTTAGTGCGATCACTGTACTCTACATATTGATTTATTTGCGTTTAGATGTAAGGATGTGTAAGGAGATATAGGGAGGGAGTGAATGTTTGGACGACTAGCGAGTGAATGTTTGGATGAATAGTGTGAACATGTGTATGTGTATTCACTGTTTGTTCCTGCAGGATCAAACTGCTAGCTCTTGGGCCCCATCTTTCTAACCGTCGGTTGTCCTCAATCATATCTACTACATATTTGTCTCTCGCTCACATACACATCCCCACGATACAGCCCATAGTATCTGTCTAACTCCAAGATACCTATTTACTGCTAGCGGAACAGGACCATCAGGAATAAGAAACTGCCTGGGCAGGGAATCGAACCCGGGCACTTAGGTCTGCAACCCCTGAGCGCTTGCCACTCGGCCGTGAATGTATGTAAACGATTCTTCGCGGCAGGGGATCGTATTCCTGGGACCGTAGGATTAAGGACTTGCCCGAAACGCTACGCGTACTAGTGGCTGTACAAGAATGTAACAACTCTTGTATATATCTCAAAAAAAAAAAAAAAAAAAAAAAAAAAAAAAAAAAAAAAAAAATGTATACTCACCTAGTTTTACTCACGTAGTTGTGCTTGCGGGGGGTTGAGCTTTGGCTCTTTGGTCCCGCCTCTCAACTGTCAATCAACTGGTGTACAGGTTCCTGAGCCTATTAGGCTCTATCAAATCTAAACTGTGTGTGTGTGTGTGTATGTATGTAAGGGATGGGGGGAGGGGGAAGGAGAAGGGTAGGAGTGTGAGGAGGCTGGTCTCACCAGGAGCGAAGATACCGTCACCATTGGGCCATCCGTAAAGGTTGGCCAGCTTGGAGATGACGTAATCTTCCACCAACATAAACACCGGGGCCACCTCGAACGTGTACCTGTGAAGAAAACACAGCTGATAGGAACACCAATACTCCACCACTCGTCTTTCTCATTCACACAAACTAATATGATGATCTTAGAGTACAGTGAGTATTTGGCTGATTAGCTTATTTTCACAGATATGCATAATTATATATTTATGTAATTGTTTTGAGGATAATCTTACAGTAATTATGGCAGCCTATGAATATGTGTAACGTAAAAATATAGTTAAAATATAAATATTATTTAACTTGTGTGTATATATATATTATATATATATATATATATATATGTATATATATATATATATATGAAGCGCCGAGCGAGTGTTTTACCACTACGCCATGGGGGGGACTCTTGTTAAACCCGATGGTTCTGCTCACCTAGCATTAAATTGGTACCCGGGGACTAGTAGAGTAGACTTGTGAGTTGTATCCTGGCCAATCCCGTCCTCTAAAAGAGACAGAAACGCATTTTGACGCATATTTACCTAAGGCCAAAAATCTTCTTACTAGAAAATGGTAGCGGCTCACAAAATTGATATATTGCCCCATTTTCTGTTTTGGGTCCTTTGGTAGGTTAGCAGAGGGCACTTTAGCGCGACAGTTTCTTGACGTTGCGAAACGTTAGGACGCAGAGCCTCCTCTGGGGCCTGACAGCTGAGTGGACAGGGCTTCGGATTCGTAGTCCTGAGGTTCGGGTTCGACCCCCGGAGGAGGCGGAAAAAATGGGCAGTTTCTTTCACCCTGATGGGGGTTCACCTAGCAGTAAATATGTACCTGGGAGTTAGACAGCTGCTACGGGCTGCTTCCTGGGGATGTGTGTAACAAAAAAGGAGGCCTGGTGGAGGACCGGGCCGCGGGGACGCTAAGCCCCGAAATCATCTCAAGATAACCTCAAGAAGGATGGGCTGCCTGGGCAAGGATCAAGGCCAGGAGAACCTTGATAAACATAAAAGGATTACTGGCGCACGACGCCTTGCGTATTAGTGGCTTTATTAAATGCAGATTGTATAATGTAACAGTCAATTAACCACTGCATCACGTTCTGTATATTTTAAGAAAGTATTTTTAAGGGTTTGAGCTATAGGATGGGAAAATTGTCAACCTGCTAACAGAAGTTAGCAGTTGTCTGTTCCTGTACCCACCTGTGTAGGACAGACGGGGCGAGACAGCTGGGCGTCCTTACACCCTATGAATCTGTTTACCTAGCAGTAATAATTCATAATAATTCAAGTAAATAGGTATGTTGTTGTTGTTGTTGAGTTAGGGGCGACGACGATCGGATGCGCCCCGGCGTACCCGTGAAGGGTGAATCGCAAAGCCAGGAAAGGCGAAATGCCAAGCCAAAACGCTAAACGAGTGACGCCAAGCACTAGAAACTAATATGCCACACGGCAAAGCTACGCACAAAGGGAGAGGCAGAAGCACATAACATAACAGGGCAAGCAAACAGCCAGAAGGGCACACAGCATGTCATAGAGCAAATACACAAGAAATCAGAGCACATACTTGCCCGGGAACTTGGCCCGCGGGAATCTTACACTGAACGCCTCCCAGAGCACCCATTGCCAAGGGTCTCGTCCATCCACCGGGGACGCCATAACACCCGGAACTGGGGCAACAAACACCTGCAAACTGGGGACCCAGATGGTAGAACTCACGAGGCGAGAAGTCGCTACTCGCCCCCACAGGAAGGGAACTTGCCCCCCACGAAAGCACTCCGGTCCGTCAGACAGCAGTAACTCGGCAATCTTCGACCAGTGACCCGGTGGCATCACAGACGCCGGCAACACGTCCCCCAGGGCCCCAACGCGCACCCGCACCACAGGGGTACCCGCGGCCCCGGGCACACCACCAGACGACAGCAGGGAACCCGGACGGCGCGCATCCTTCCGTAACGTCACCACCAGGCCACGCCCAGCACCAGAGTCAACACCATCCCTGGCAGCGGAAGCCACCACCCCCCACTGTGGAGAGTCCCCCGGCGGAGAAAGAACCGAAGGCACGTCCGAGACACAGGCACCAGCACCGGCTGGCACATGGACCTCCGCCACCACGAACCGCGGAGACATCGACTCATCCGTATCCACACTGTCAACACCCGAAGCCCCACAGTCACTGAAGTCACCAACGTCGGCCCAGGAAGAAGACGAACGCCGGGATCGTTTGGGCACCGGCCGGATATCGTCCGAGCCGGTAAGTGACCCAGAAACACGGGTACCACGAGCCGAAGGAACCGACGCCAGGACGGCAGCAGCCTCTACCACAGGAGGAACCGGGCCACACACAGCAGGAGGCTCCGCAGCCACCCCAGCACCAAGCACATCCGGGACCCGAGTCACGGACACAGGGCCAGGAGCAGCATCAGAAGACGAGGGAGAAGACAGCGACGTCACACAGGGAGCTCCAGGAAGGCCCACGGGAGCAGCTGGGACAGCGACAGGATCAGGCAGACCAACCGATGGTACCTCAAGAACCGGAGGAACGGCAGGCGCCGCCGGGGAAGCTGCAGCAGCAGACGGGACGCGCACCACCTCGTCAACATCACCGGAGACTGCCTCCAGAGGGAGCGGCGGGAAATCCTCGTCGCGGAACAAGTTGACAGGAGCAGCAGGGGCCTCAGAGCACCCAGCAGCCTGATGCCCCAACAGGCCACACCGGAAACAGGTACGAGGCTGCCTGGCATAATACACCCGGACGTAGTATCCCATAAGCCGGACAGAAGAAGGTATATCCGACCGCAGGCGCATCCCCAACGTGCGAATGTTTGTACGCCTCCCAGCATACCGCCCCGAGGAGAGCGTGTTCACCCGCACGCTGACAACAGTACCAACCCAACCCCTGCAGGAGGAGGTCATCAGGGAATTCCAGGGGCGCACCATGGATACTGACATAAGTCAGGGCACCACTGCGGTCCGAAATCGCCACAGAGCCGGCATCGTCTGGCAACGGCAACGTACGCCCCCCGTACCGACGGAGGAAGTTCCGGTGTTCGTCCTCCCCCACGAACTTAATAACAACCCGATGGGCCGTAACTAGCTCCACACCGTAAACAGCTTCCACCGGGACACGAAGCATGTCACACATCACCATCTCGATGGTCGGATAACCAGCCTTACAAGTGAACTCCAGGCCCACGGAGTTCACACGCTGAACAGGAGGAAGATGGCCCCCCATGTCAGAACTGCCACGTCAACGCAGCCAGGCAGGCAACAAAACTGGTAGGGCAGGGACGCCCACACCACCTGGCGACCAAAACAGCAAACAACTCCAACAGCCACGGAGGGTCGAGAAACGTCCTCACTCCACGGCTGCTAGCAGTCGACTCTGTAAATAGGTACTTCGCTGTTATTCTACTGTTGTGGGTCGCTTCCCGAGTAATGATCAGATTTTCCGCATATTCGAGAGTAACTCGAATTTTGTGAGAGTAACCCACAAAAAAATCAAATGAAAAAGTGCATCTCATTCACTTTCATGATGTACTAAAATGGCATGACAGGACATTTAGTTTAGTTATCCCATAAACTGTTGCGTATTCTATCTTCAGAAAAAGTCCAAAGAAAATATATGCAAACTGGGGTAACTGCAATAAAATAAATTTATATTGCAGCGAGCGCATCGCTTTCTTCTTACACCTCAAGCCACATTAATGCTGCTCAAAGAACATTCCCTCTCTCAAGCCATATACACTGATTGTTGCCTACACCAATCCACAGGTGCAGCTCGAAGTGCAGTTGACAATGAGTCCTGACAATGCGTGATGTTCATATTTTGATTGGGGAATCTGTATAAGCAACTGGGCCTCTCCCCCTTCAGACAGAGCTATTTGTCATACTTCTTACGCTCAAATGTATCCATGTCTCCGAACTTGACACATTAATTATAACTGATTATCATCTTTAAATGAGTTCAACTATTTAAGATAATTTTTGGACACGGTAACGAAAGGACCTCCAGTTGATGTTGTATACATGGACTTCTCTAAAGCTTTTGATAATGTACCACATGAAAGAACGGCAAGGAAATTAAAAGCACGTGGGATAAAAGACAGAGTACTAGAATGAATAAAACAATAGTTAAAACAAGACGTGCCACACGTCTATGGATCATCCAATAAAATCAGCAATCTCCTAGATGTCACTGCTGCTAGGCTTTGATTCTGTTGAAAGTATCTCTACGAGTCTGCATTATCTACTGACATAGACCTGACCAAATGGAAAACGTAGCAGCAAAATTATTCGCACACCTTGCGTCACTATTGAAATAAGTTTATTGATGTAAAATACACACAAAGGGATGAGGTAGCTCAAGCTATTCTCACCCCGTTCAGTACATCGTGTTAATATATACACACATCACAAACAAACGTCACTATGTGATGGAGCGTGATAAGATACATAAATTTTGAGACAAATCAATAACAAATATTCAAGAAATATGTAAATATTTAATTAAAAATGATCTACAACCAGAAAATAATGCCAAATATCCCCAGTTTGCTAATTGTAGATAGTAAATGTGGGTGACTGTGACCATTCCACCGCCGCCCAATGGAGGGCGAAGGGTTTCATAAGCAAATCAAATTATGAAACTAGTTCACCACAAATGTAACTTGCTTAGTTTAAAGACGGTGCTTCTGGTCGTTCTCGGACTTAATGTTGACATAACAATAAATACATTATATTGCGTAACTAACGTATCAAGGATGTAACTCGCTTAGCTAAATGTTGGGGTTCAGTTCCTGGGCCCATTATGTGCCTCTGTAACCTCTTCGACTTCAACCCACAGGATGGGTTTACCAGTCTCCGTGGTGTAGTGGAAAGACACTCGCCTGGCGTTACGCGAGCGCTGTCATGGGTTCGTATCCTGGCCGGGGAGGATTTACTGGGCGCAATTCCTTAACTGTAGCCTCTGTTTAACGCAACAGTAAAATGTGTACTTGGATGAAAAAACGATTCTTCGCGGCAGGGGATCGTATTCCAGGGACCTGCCCGAAACGTTACGCGTACTAGTGGCTGTTCAAGAATGTAACAACTCTTGTATATATCTCAAAAAAAAAAAAATGGATATGGGGTATATAATAAACTAAACTAATTTTCTCAAAAATATTTGAAGAATCCTCAGAATATTAAAACTTTTCCTAATCTATGGATTGTTATACAATAGTTACACAGACGTCTATTTAAGCAGCGCACTGTCCCATGTATTCTCCAATTTATGAATACATGTAGCACCTCTTAGTATCTTAATACAACTCCATAAAACAAACTGTCATAAGCAGGTGATCTGTAATGGCACGGGAAAGGGAATTCCTAACTTATCGATGTTCCACTAGACAAGGGTGAGAATATGACCTTAAGCTCAAAACGTTTAGTTTAATTGAAGTAAGAGAACATTAAATGAGAACAAGTGACAAAGTAATTCAGTGTTCATCATCAAACAATTACAGAGGACTCAGGTAAGAGTATACGACATCTATACTGTACTCCCAGGTAGCTGTAATAACAATTGGCTTACTGTATTCTAGTGCATGTGCAGGCAACACTTACTGGTTAGTGTTGAGCGCCTCTGTCATCCAGGCTCCAGTGAGCGCCACCTCGTCGATGCCTCCATATAACTGGTTGTAGAAGTGAGGATGTTGAGTCTTGACGCTGTAGTGCACAACCTGCTCCAGCGCGGCCTCCATCTCCTCCTGGGAACACCCGTTCACCCCCACCCCAACTTGCAGCACTTCCTGACACCAAGGGAGGAAACACGTGCATTATTATAACAATGTAACTTGCTTTTTACTGTAGGAAACTTGCCTTTTTACCGTAGGTAACTTGCCTTTTGCTGTATACAAAGGAATTCAAATAACAACAGATCACTAGTGCCAAATGAGATTCGTAGTTTTATACAACAGGCAATTGCTTGCGTGGAGTGGCGCGAACATGCTTCGCCAGTTATTTTACCTGGGTTCGAGCCCTGGGCAAGGAAAGTCGACTGGGTATGATCCTTAACTATTCGCCACAGTTCACCCAGCAGTAATTTGGAGCCTGGTTGTAAAACCAGTGAGACTGTGCTAAAATATAATAAGTTTGACATGCCTTAGCTAAACCGACTAAATCGTGAAACCCATTACCTAGTGGAATCTGGTAACAAAGTATGTATGTATGTATGTATGTATGTATGTATGTATGTATGTATGTATGTATGTATGTATGTATGTATGTATGTATGTATGCATGTATGTCCCCATGGCGCAGTGGTAACACACTTGCCCCGTGCTTCGCGAGCGATTTGGCCTGGGTTTGTATCCTGGCCGGGGAGGATTGACTAGGCGCCAATCCTTAACTGTAGCCTCTGTTCACTCAGCAGTGAATGGGTACCTGGTTGTTAAACGATTAGGCGGATCGTATTCCAGGGAAAAATTAGATTAAGGACCTGCCGGAAACATTAAATTATAATTATGCTAAATAAGAAAATAAAACATGGATTGGCAAAGTACATAGGCATATATTAAGAGAAGCATATAGGCCGAGGAAGAGGAAGGAGGGGGCTGAAGTGAGGGGCTGACCCTACACTTGATGACCTTCAGGAAGATGGAGGGCGAGGGGGGCTTTTGCCAGAGATTGATTCACTACCTTATATGACGTCCCGGAAGAGGGAGAGGGTGTGGAGGGGTGAGACTTAAGCCTGGCATGACGCAAGACTTTATGACCTTGAGGAAAGATGGAGTGGAGAGAGGCTTAATAGCTCTGACGCAAGACTGTATGACCTTCAGGAAGAGGCCTCACCTTTAGTTCCTTGGGGTGTCTGAACTCGACAACTTTTTCCGTGGGGTTGATGCCGGTAACGAGGTTGGCCTTCAGTACGATGTCTAGCACTATTTTTAGCAGGGCCCCTCGCTCGTCTAGTCCGTCCTCCTCCTGTATACTGGTTTCTGATGTCACGTAGCCGTTGGTGGTGGGTTGTTTAAGCGTAGTAGATTCATTGTTCTTGTGGCTGTTAAGCGCAGTGGGTCCACCGTTCATATAACCGTTGGTGGTGGTTGTGGTGGATTGTTTAAGTGCAGTTGTCGTGTTCACGTGTTCTCCCAGTCTGGGGAGAACAGTTGGGTGGGTGCAGCTGCTACCTCCGCTCATCGTCCACGTACTGCCTCCGTCTGACACCTGCCGGAGCACACCTCATTATAGTCACCTGAATCGTTAATTTGTATGTGTTTTATAAACATTCTTTTACCGATGGTTGAAAACATCGTGAGGGATAATTGTGTAACTTGGTTCAAAGTTCATGGTAAATTTGTGGGGTCTATCTTCATGAGTTGTGTCTGTGTGCTGCTTTACTAGGCTGTGTTGAATAGTGTTTATGTATGTGGATATTACAAGGGCAGACTTATAACAAAACAAGGGAAGTGATCGGAAAAAAATATATATTATACTCCAAAAGAAGCTCATTCAACAACATATATTGCGAAACACACACACACACACACACACACACACACACACACACACACACACACACACACACACACACACACACACACACACACACAACCAATAATATAATAGAGAGAGCAACTTCAGCTGTCTGCAGAAATGGATCCAGACTCTTTAATTACGGGCCATTTCAACTATGGAAAGATTACTGGGAGAATGGGGACCCACATGGAGGTGCAGATACATGGAGAGCTAAACTCTTGGAAGTGGCAACAAGGAACTTTCTGAGCCAACATGTCAAGGGACCCACAAGAATGAGAGACAATGACGAACCAGCTAGACGCGACCTGATATTCACCCTGAATGACTCAGAAATAAGGGAAATCAAAGGGATTGGAAGAGGAAAATACTAAATTACCAAAGAGGAAAATATGACTAGATGAGAAAATATAACGGTTCAATCAGGAAGGTAAGGAAGTGAAGCAATTGAGTAAAAGAACATGGAGAAACTACAGGAACAACAGAACACTAGAGAGTAGGGAGAGATACCAGAGGGCCAGAAATGACTACCTCAGAGTGAGGAGAGAAGCAGAGAGACAGTATGAAAATGACATAGCGAGTAAAGCTGAGACCCAACCAAAGCTGCTCCACAGCCACACCAGGAGGAAGACAGCAGTGAAGGAACAAGGGATGAAACTGAGAAAAGGGGAGAACAGATACACAGAGAATGAAAAGGCGTATAAAGAACTCAACAAGAGATTCCAGGAGGTCTTCGCAATAGAACAAGGAGAAGCCCCAGCACTAAATGAGGAGGCAAACCAAACAACCTTCGAGGAATTTGACCTCACCAGTGATGAGGTCAAAGGAATCTGTTGGAGCTGAATGTGACAAAGGCTGTTGGGCCTGACATAATCTCATCGTGGATACTAACAGAAGGTGCAGAAGCACTAAGTGTGCCACTCTCTATGGTGTATAACAGGTCACCGGAAACAAAAGACCTTCCGGAAAGTTGGAAGACAGCCAATGTCGTCCCAATATACAAAAAGGGTGACAGGCAAGAGGCACTGAACTACAGGCCAGTTTCCCTAACTTGTATACCATGCAAGGTGATGGAGAAGATCGTGAGGAAAAGGCTCGTAGAGCATCTGGAGGGAAATAGCTTTGTAACACGCCACCAGCATGGGGTCAGAGATGGTAAATCGTGCCTCACAGGTTTAATAAAATTCTATGACCAAGCAACACAAATTAGGCAAGAAAGAAAGAGGTGGGCAGACTGCATTTTCTTGGACTGTCAGAAAGCCTTTGACATAGTACCCCATAAAAGGTTGTTACAAAAGTTGAAGCAACAGGCAGGAGTAAAAAGTAAGGTGATCCAGTGGATAAGGGAGTATCTAAGCAACAAGAAACAGCGAGTAACTGTGAAGGGGGAGACATCAGAGTGGCGAGATGTCACCAGCGGAGTCCCACAGGGCTCTGTACTTGGACCCATCCTGCTTCTAATATATGTAAACGATCTTCCAGATCGTTTACATCTGGAAGATGTAATCTTTACAGATTACGATCTTTACAGATCGTTTGCTGATGATGCAAAAATTATGAGAAGAATGAAAAAAGATGAAGATAAACAGAGACTACAGGACGACCTGGACAAACTGGAGGAATGGTCTAGAAAATGGCTGCTAAAGTACAACTGAGGAAAGTGTAAAGTAATGAAATTAGGCGAAGGGAGCAGAAGGCTGAACACAAGGTGCCGTCTGGGAGGTGAAATCCTGCAAGAGTCAAATAGAGAGAAAGATATGTGGGTTTATATCACGCCGAACCTGTCCCCAGAACCCCACATCAAAAGGATATAATCAGCGGCATATGTTAAATTGGCCAACATAAGAACTGCCTTCAGAAACTTATGTAAGGAATCGTTCAGGACCCTGTATACCACTTATGTAAGACCAATCCTGGAATATGCAGCTCTAGCCTGGAGTCCATACCTAGTTAAACACAAGGCAAAGTTAGAGAAGATTCAGAGGTATGCCACCAGACTGGTCCCGGGCTGAGAGGTATGAGCTACGAGGAAAGGCTAAGGGAGCTGAACCTCACATCCCTGGAAAACAGAAGAGTAAGGGGAGACATGATAACCACCTACAAAATTCTCAGGGAAATTGACAGGGTCGACAAAGACAAGCTCCTTAGAACGGGTGGAACATGAAGAAGAGAACACAGGTGGAAACTTAGTACCCACATGAGCCACAGGGATGTTAGAAAGAACTTTTTCAGTGTCAGAGTAGGTAATAGATGGAATGTATTAGGCAGTGATGTGGTGGAGGCTGACTCCATACACAGTTTCAAGTGTAGATATGATAGAGCCCAGTAGGCTCAGGAATCTGTACACCAGTTGATTGACGGTGAGAGGTGGGACCAAAGAGCCAGAGTTCAACCCCCGCAAGCACAACTAGGTGAGTACACACACATGCTGCAACCTGTGAACGATATATTTAATCTTGTTGACCTTTGTATACGCTGACCAGTTTCACTAGAGAAACTAGCATGTGAACCATAACAAGCGTTGCTACGTACAGGCGTTATCAGCGATAACAAGGTACCCATTCTAATAATAGGTTCCCTTTACGTTCCTTTAGTCACACCAGCAGCCCCTCCGCCGTGCTCACAGTCGCTCTAATTGGAGCAGCGAAGACTCGAATACGAGTGACTGAAGATGTACCGGTGACTGGTGACTGAAGATGTACCAGTGACTGGTGGCAGCAAATATCACAAAATGCGAATCGCATTCTTTTCGGAAGGCCTCGGAAACCTTATACAGTCAATGGGTTTACAATCAATGGGTTACAGTGGGCAACCGTAGCCCAGCACAGAGTACTATCACCAGCGCGGCTCCTCTACACTACGTGGAGTAAGAGCCGCGGGTATTGAACACATCTGGCCACCACGTTCACCTTGGTAGCGATATACCAAGGTTAAAGGTTACGTTTAATCGTTGATCAGTACATGTGGTGCTCGATAGACTTGTCTATTGAACTGAGCTCATTACATAAGAACAAAGGTAACTATAGCAGAAGGCCTATTGGCCCATTTGAGGCAGCTCCTATCTATAACCAGATTGATTGATTGATTGATAAAGATTAAGCCACCCAAAAGGTGGCACGGGCATGAATAGCCCGTAAGTGGTGACCCTTTTGAGCCATTACCAATATCAAGAGCTGATACTGGAGATCTGTGGAGGTGCGACTGCACCCTGCGTGACGGGAGATGTCTCCCGTGTCTATAACCACCCAATCCCACTCATATATATGTCCAACCCAGGCTTGAAACAATCGAGGGACCCCATCTCCACCACGTTATGAAGTAATTGGTTCCACAAATCAACAACCCTGTTACCAAACCAGTATTTACCCAAGTCTTTCCTAAATCTAAACTTGTCCAATTTATACCCGCTGTTTTGTGTTTTGTCTTGAGTCGATACTTTTAATACCTTATTAAAATCCCCTTTGTTATGTCCATTCATCTACTTGTAAACCTCTATCATGTCACCCATTGTCCAATTTATACCCATTGTTTTGTGTTTTGTCTTGTGTCGATACTTTTAATATCTTATTAATATCCCTTTTGTTATGTCCATTCACCCACTTGTAAACCTCTATCATCTCACCCATAACTCTTCGCCTTTCCAGTGAATGCAATTTAAGCTTTGTTAGTCTTTCTTCATATGACGGTTCCTAATTTGGGGGTATTAACTTTGTCATCCTACGCTGGACACGTTCAAGTGAATTTATATCCATTCTATAGTACGGCGACCAAACTGAATTGCATAATCTAAATGGGGCCTAACCAGAGCAGGATATGGCTGAAGAACAACACCAGGTGTCTTGTTACTGACGCTTCGATTAATAAATCCCAGTGTCCTATTTGCCTTATTACGGAAGTCATGCTCACTGGGGGTATGTATACTGCAGCTGAGTTGTAACTTAAGTTGAACTGTAACCAAACCACCCAACTTCGGACCTCCTGAGGTCCGAAGCTGGTATAAGGTTCTTCAGATCCTTTGTTATTCATTTTGGGTCATAAGTATTCGATCTACTCAATTTGTATGGTATACTACGTTCCTGTGCTTTGCTTAGAATATTTTTAAATAAGTTATATTTTGAATCTATATTAGGTCACCGTTGAAGAGGTCAATGGATTATTATCCATAATCCATTCACTGACAGTTTTGGGCTGCATCATCCACTCCGCCGAGTACTGCAGCAATTACCTGTTTGTGCAGGTTCAGGTACACTGCGGTATACTGCCTGAACCACACGTGTAGACCAGTACACCACATTGGTTTTGTTTTTCACTACCACGCACGCGGCCACACATTTACAATGCTAACCAGCGTATACACGTTTTCGTCCGTCCTCCATGGACAGGGTTAGAGATCTGTTAAACATATAGTTCAGTGATTTACTGTACAATCAACCACAGAAGGTAATTATTGTGCTTTTAAAATGTTAATCTAACCATTATACATAAATACACAGATTTACGTCTGTCTCACATAAACAGTGTAGGACAAGTGTCCTTTTACAGTGTCATTAATGTGCGTTTACAAAGGTGAAATGCATTTCTGACCAGACCATTAATTAATACATTAATTTGAATTAATCGAAATGAACTAGTTGATTGACAGTTGAGATGCGGGACCAAAGAGCCGAAGCTCAATCCCCCGCAAGCAGATCTAGGCGAGTACAACTAAGCGAGTACCTGGTAATGGGGGAAAGTTAATTTCAGGAAACAAAATAAATACGGTGTGTTGCCTCCACTCGACAGGTGGCAGCAAAGTGACTCTTATGCCCACATTTAAAGCAAGTTTTCAGTCGTCCATTGTAAATAAATTTAATATTGTGGCCCGCCACTGACACCGATGAAGGAATATTTCAGTTATGTTCCATTTTCATTGTTCTGGTAACATTGACAATTCCCTTGGCTGCACCGACTGTATGCTTATTTAGACGGACATGTCCACTTTTCCTCACTGTGCAAGTAAGATAGCAATATGCACCTTTTGATACTTAACATATCAAAAGGTGCATATTGCTATCTGGAACTTACATAAACGTCTTACACAAATAAATCACTTGCACCGACCCTTTTTCATTAGGCAAACAGAGAAGGTCATCATCATACTTCCCCAAACACTCAGAAATTGTCACACATGTTGTCCAGACCACACACTAGAAGGTGAAGGGACGACGACGTTTCGGTCCGTCCTGGACCATTCTCAAGTTGACAATCGACTTGAGAATGGTCCAGGACGGACCGAAACGTCGTCGTCCCTTCACCTTCTAGTGTGTGGTCTGGTCAACATACTTCAGCCACGTTATTGTGACTCATCGCCTGCACTGTCACAAATTTTTCAATCTTCACCGCCACCCTGTTGCCGCGAAGCATTTGAAAGTCAGCCAATTCCTCTAGCTTGATGGTATTACCTCAAAGATGGTCGTGCAGACAATTTCAAAGTATGACAATTGAATTTAAGTCCAAGGGACTCCTTCCGCTTTAAGCGAGGTGTGTAGGGGCCTAATATGTCACATTCCACACCTCATCGACATGGTATGACTCACGGCAACCCGTCCTCGACTCAAGTCCATTCCATCCAGCGGTCGACCCCACAGACGCATTTATAAATTTTTACATGTTGTTCGTTCAAAACAGAAATTTTCTCAAATATAAATTAATATTATAATATATTAGCATATTGTGTAAATAGGCATAGGTTAGTTAAGGTTAAGTGTTTAGGTTCTGTTGGCGATTATTTGCATTTGCAATACGTGGGTGAAGCATTTAAAGCGTTGTGGTTCGAGCAAAATTCGTCAGTGAAGCACTTGTTCCGGAAATGTTCGAAAGAAACCAGTTATGAGTCGTGTGTAAACTGTTTTTCATTCATAAACAGGGGGTTTGGCGGGTGGATGGAATCACTTTTGGGTCTTCGTCAGGAGGACGGGCTGCTCACAGAGAAATTGAAATTGAAATAAGTTTATTGAGGTAAAATACACACAAAGGGATGAGGTAGCTCAAGCTATTCTCACCCCATTCAGTACAACGTGTTAATATATACATAGACACACATCACATATAAACATATTACCAAACATTCTGAGAGGTAAACATATACATTTCCTCCTTCACAAGTAGTATGGTATCAGACGTACACACAAATACTTTTATGACCTAGGTATACTGTATAGACAATTTGCAAGACACCTGCAGATAATTCAACAAAATATTACAATCTTGGTGCAAAATTCTTATATCTCTCAAGAATATCATCAACCTTTCCGTTGTGACACATCCAGGCTATTTGTTCAGGAACAGTCCCACAGAGAGGGTGTGATGGCCGCCCGTAGCGACACAAGCAGCTTGCCCGTGTGGAAGGCGCACCAGGAGCGACCCAGACACGTCTGCACTGCCCGCCGGTCATGACCTCGCGTGGCTCGCACATGAACAAAACAAGTATTTTCATTGTTATCTTGCTACAGGTCTTGCTACAGAGGCATCGTCACAGTAGTATCGTTAGAGGTATCGCTACAAGGCAGGTATCGCTTCACGTGTTGCTACAGAGTTTGCAGTAACTCCGGAATTCTCAGTAGAAAATATGGTGTATTATATATCACCGACAAGACCAAAAACTGACGCATCTTGATCATGACTGTAGGTTCATTGACTGAACCTAGGATTAGTCATTTCTGCAGAAAAACAATGATGCTAAACCGGCGCCCACTCAGATTGGAAGGAGCTGTCCACAAGATGCAACTGTGTGATGACTCGGCTTCACTCTAACGAGATTCAAACATCTTAGCCTTGGAGTCCCACTGCATGACAACGCTGCAGCGAGACCATTTGGTCGTCATTGTAGACTCATGCCTCTCACAGCTGAGGCAGGATGGCATCCCAGCTTTGGGAGGAATGTTAGAATTACATAATGACGTTCCTTCCATTTACTCATCAAGATTGTAACTTGCTTAGCTAAATGAATTGTGGGGTTCAGTCCCTGAGCCCATTATGTGCCTCTGTAACCCTTTCCACTACTGCCCACAAGATGGGTATGGGGTGCATAATAAATGAACTAAACTATTATGTAATTCAGTGATTATGTAACATCCTTGCCTATTCTAATATATATATGAATTGAGGTACAATGTCTAATGAGAAATGGGGATATTAATAAGATCACACACACAATCACACTAACGTGATGCATCAAATGAACAAATCCACAAGGGCCGTGACGAGGATTCGAACCTGCGTCCGGGAGCATCCCAGACACTGCCTTAATCACTGAGCTACAACAGGGTTAAAAGAGTTAACCCTGTCGTAGCTCAGTCGATTAAGGCAGTGTCTGGGATGCTCCCGGACGCAGGTTCGAATCTTCGTTACGGTCCTTGTGGATTTGTTCATATTAATAAGGTATTAGTATATCAGTGTTTAAGGGCGATTTAAGTAAAATCATTGATACACTAATACCTTATTAATATATATATATATATATATATATATATATATATATATATATATATATATATATATATATATATATATATATATATATGTCGTACCTAGTAGCCAGAACGCACTTCTCAGCCTACTATGCAAGGCCCAATTTGCCTAATAAGCCAAGTTTTCATGAATTAATTGTTTTTCGACTACCTAACCTACCTAACCTAACCTAACTTTTTCGGCTACCTAACCTAACCTAACCTATAAAGACAGGGTACGTTAGGTTAGGTAGGGTTGGTTAGGTTCGGTCATATATCTACGTTAATTTTAACTCCAATAAAAAAAATTTGACCTCATACATAATGAAATGGGTAGCTTTATCATTTCATAAGAAAAAAATTAGAGAAAATATATTAATTCAGGAAAACTTGGCTTATTAGGCAAATCGGGCCTTGCATAGTAGGCCGAGAAGTGCGTTCTGGCTACTAGGTACGACATATATATATATATATATATATATATATATATATATATATATATATGTCTTTGAAAATGTAATAAGAAATTACGAAACGCGTTCAGGCGTCAGACAATAAATAAAAATGAATTTTGGATAATTGATATTTCAATTACCATCGACAGTGAAGAAAAACATAAGAAACATTGAGAAAATTTGTGTTAGAATTATTAATCTTACCTTTTCGGTCATATTCAACAACATATGTTTACAAGAAAGGCTGCTACCAAAATATACTAATATATATATAATAAAATAATTTGTTTTATTTATAAATATATAAAGCACGATTCTTTTCAATATAATAAGGACTTTTCAATGTAATGTTTGCGTAGCATACGGAACTTTCCACTCACATGTGGCCGTAGCCGAGAGACGGGCCCCAAATATAGTGAGGTGTAGTACACTTTCCCTTTCTATGGCCATGTCGCCTCCAGGTGACGCATGTTATCTGGTTAGCTCCACTCATCCATGTTGGACTGTCTGGGGATTTTTTTTTGTGTCTGTTCTTTAAAAGTACAGTATAGCCTCTATACTGCCCAGCTGTGACTAAGTCTGACACAGCTGCCATATGTTTAAGGTTAGACAGAACAAACAACACTGTATAGGTAAATTTAAACGCAACGAGACTACGAAGCTGGGTATAAAGACTTAACCACTGTCTGGTAAGCACTCATGGGGTCACCATAGCCCGTGCTACTTGGACGCGTTTTGTTCTGAGTAGCTGAATCTATAACAACAAACAACATGGTAAGCACTCACTCACGCATCCGTGCATATTGGCGTGCGCACCCACGGCAAGCATGAATGTATATATTCGGAACATTATTGAATGCACTTCAGCGGTGATTGAAAAGAAGGTTGCTTGACTTCAACCCTAACACATGCAAATGAATGAGTATTGGAGCTGGTAAAATAGAAACCACATGTTAAAAGATAAACAGCCTCAAGAAAGAGAATGATAAAGTCGGTGAAATATTAACACTAAACCTGGCTTGCGGAACTTGAATACAAAATACTTTTTCAAACTATGGCCTAAAAAGTACGAGACCGTTGTTCTACCAACCAGACCATGAGTGTTCATAATTGCTCGAGTAGCAAGAAGCCTCGAGAGAACATATACAACCTACATAAGAACAACTCTTGAGTATGCAGTTCCGGCTTTGAATCCTCCACCTAAAAAAGAACAAACCAGAAATAGAAAACGCACAAAGACATGCGACAAGGCTTTTGTTAGAGCTAACGGGGCTCAACCTCATCACGTTGAAGGAAAGACGAAACAATAATATGATAACGTACAAAATATCGAGATGAATTACCATGATGAACAAAGGTATTGTTCAAACTGGGAAACGACAGAACTACAGGATAGGATACGAGTGTTAGCTAGACACAGATGTCAGAGAAGCACTTTCAACATGCGCGGCCACACACACCACGCAGGTGTTTGTTTACCTGAATTCACCTGAAGGCCGCCAGCTAGTGACTTCGACGGGTACTAGCGGCCAGCGCCTTGTCCAAGGTCTCCCATTATTGTATGTCTCCACCCATCAAAGGAGCAGGAGTAAACTTCATGCATAACTTTGAAAGCAGTTATGATAAGCAAATAGGTCAGGAGTCATTGCATTAGACAACCGGCGGCTAGAAAAGCGAGGTCCAAGAGCTAGAGCTCGATCTTGCAAGCACAAATAGAAAGCAAATCATCTCATGTCGTTGAAAGACAGGATTTAAGAGTTATGGAGACATGATTACCATATACAAAATTATCAGGTAGAATTGTTAGGGCAATTAAGTACTATTTAACACGGGTGGCATTAGCACTAGTGGACAAATGTGAAAATTTAGTACGCAAATGAGCAACAGAGACACTAGAAACAATGTTATCAGTGTTAGAGTAATTAACAAATTTATGCACTAGTAAGTGATCTGATAGAGGTATGCTCAATACATATTTTTCAATCGTAGATATGATAAGAGCTCAATAGTGTCAGAAACCTGTACACCAGTTGATTGACAGTTGAGAGACGGGATTAAAGAGCCGAAGCTCAACCTCCGCAAGCACAATTAGGTAAACAAACACAAACACACACACACACACATTAGAAAGTGTATGTTAGCTACTCACTAGTAAGTCCTCAAGGGACGGTGATGGCAACACAGCCGCTTTGGGTCGGAGGCGTTGAAGAAGTGTGTGTCTGGCGCGGGGAGGGTGTGGCGTAGCCTGGCTCCCAGACGGGAGTAGACCACGTACCAGCTCTAAGAGATGATTGGCGCTCTATACCCAAGTCTTCTGGGATTGGATGGTGGCTCACTGACACACTTAAACTGTAATAATTACAAAATTAGAACTCAAGGTTTAACTCTGACAACAACGATAAGGTGGAAATCCCCACGAAGATAAATAGATCATTATAGATATTAATTCTTATCGTGTATTTTTCCTGAATTAGGGAGTGGTTTAATTTCTGCTTTCAAATAGACAATGTCATAATATGTTAATCTTGCCTTATAACTGACAACCATATCCTTCCTCTCGTATATATTTTCGAACACGTTGCATATTTAATGTTCCGTGGTTCTACGTGTACATGATATGCCGTTAGCGTTACTGAAATATGTTCATCAATTGGAAAATTATTATTTGGAAAATAATATCGCCATTCAAGCCCTGGGTATCAGTAAGGGGCAGTTTACAAGACTCGCTTGTCACATTCCAATTCAGACGCTGTGATGACCTCATAGTATTGTCAATTATTATATTTTGTTGAGGGTATACTTTGGAGAACTGCGTAAGGTAAATTTTTCAAGTGAAGTTTTAATTGAGTGCTTCAAGCCACTCAATTATCGCAAGCAATAAAAGGTCTGGCAACGTTTTGACGAGGAGTAAAGGTGTGTGTGCGTGTGCTCTTGGTCACATGGTGTTCACGTGCAGATTTCCAAATGATCTCAGCCGGTGAGAGTGGGGGGGGGGGGGCAGGGGGGTGGCCTTGTCTGGCGCTGCTTGGTTAATACAGTCGCTTTGTTGTTGTCTAGTTGCCAGGTTATAATAGGCTATGCTCTATTTCCGTTTTTGACCACCGACAATACGTCAAATATTTACACCCATTTCTTTGAGCTCGGTTATCGCGACTGAACATAATTGAGGTCTGCATATGGCACCTTGTCTGTTATCAAATTGCACGTTGCCCAATTGCAAATTTCTCTCTAATTTTTACGAATATTATCTAAATGAGATGAATTCGCTGAATGTAATTGGTACGAGCTAATGACCACCAATAAAAGAGACACTCACGTACCTTAAAGTGATATACATATACATTTTGTATAACTCCAGAAAATAATTATGATTTTTTCGGAGGGCAACAATTTTAAGCCAGGAGGACCAGGGCATGCGGTGAGCGGAGAGGAATTTTCCACTGAGAAAGGCGCCGCTATGTCGTCGTGGAAGTATACGCAACGAGTCAAGTTCAAGTACGTTTCTTGAGACAATAAGATATATCTCTAAAGAATATTGTAGCTTAGGCTATTTCTACCCTCCTCTACTTCAGATTCCTCAAGGGGCTCTCAATTCCAGTGAGAACAAATCCATAAATCACAATACACAAATCATATACACATCGACTGTGGTCAGTACATATACACATCGACTGTGGTCAGTGCATATACACATCGACTGTGGTCAGTGTATATACACATCGACTGTGGTCAGTGCATATACACATCGACTGTGGTCAGTGTATATACACATCGACTGTGGTCAATGTATATACACATCGACTGTGGTCAGTGCATATACACATCGACTGTGGTCAATGCATATACACATCGACTGTGGTCAGTGCATATACACATCGACTGTGGTCAATGCATATACACATCGACTGTGGTCAGTGCGAGGCTTTGATAGGATAGTAAGCAAATTAGTATTGTAATAAAGATTGAAAAATATATCATTCATGTTATACTTGATATTTCGACCATATGTCTCTTGTCTGTTGTCACCGGACCGGACATCAGGCCAGAGCAGGATCAGTGTCCGGTAAATTATACCCCGCCCATTATAGATGTTTTTTTCTGCTTTCGAGCAATAATTGGAGAAACCTCTTATTGAAATTAGAGATGACACAAAACGCTATAATGACTGTTCAAAGAGAATACTGTGAAAACAAAAGGAGTATCAACTATTCAGTTTAATTACACAACAAACTTTTGCAAATGTGGTCATTTGCAATATATATATATATATATATATATATATATATATATATATATATATATATATATATATATATATATATATATATATATATATGAATGATAGTGTCAGACCACGAAGGAAGGATTAAGACAGAAATTTTCTTAAGTACGTGATTAAGTACTGATGATTCTGACTGATCCTTCTGAAGATGTATTATTTAATACGAAAATAGTTAAGGCAATTCCTGTCTTATTCCTTCCTTCGTGGTCTTACACTGTCACATTGTTCATCACTTGTTAATTTCTTCGTGATTTACACACACAAGCCGTGTCCAACAGTTTAGTTGACCAGACTACCAACCAGCAGGCCTGGCCCAGCAGACCGGGCCGTGGGCATATTGGTCCCCAGAACGAATACAAGGTAATCGCAAGGTAAGGTAATTTCCTTTGAAAATTACATATAGCAGGTTTATCATTATTTATTACTCTAAGTTCTCATTTGCATACACACAATGCTAAAATTTGCATACAGCCTGTTACCTTAGTGACATCTTTAATAAATAAATAATTTGTTCATACACAAAATTATGTATGCAAATTTCACAGGCTAAATAACATTATTGTTAAGCCTAAGCCTAGTCCATAACATATCCCAGCCCGCCAAACACCAATGCCTAGCTTCAAACAGCATTGACTTAATGAACGTTAAACCAGTATACAATAACATGAAAAACATAATGAAAAAAATCGTGGAAATAATTGAAAAACAAAGCAAGTTTTTGGAAATCACAGAGCAAAACGCAAAAATCTTGAACCAAAAAAGACAATAAGCAGTCTCGAAAAGTCCTAAAAAGTGTTAGATGAGTGATCAACACCCCAACTGGGAGCAACAACCCGTGCGCCCACGCCATGAACATCAGCGGCATGGAGCTTGCAAACTGCAAAAATGCAAAGAAATAATAGAAAGATTAGTGCTGCAGGGGTGAATAGCAATGGCAGTGATTTGGTGAGTGACGGTTGTAATGCAAATGATGAGATGAAATATGGTGATGGTAGTTGTAAAAACAGTGATAGAAAGAACGGAAATTGTGATGAAGGGGAGAACGGAAATGGTGAAAAGGGTAAAGGAAGTGATTGTGATAAAGAAGAAGGAGGAGTCTATGATGGTGAAATAGTGGAAACATACGATGATACAATCTCCAAGAAGCTGTTAAGAGATGTCCTATTGTTATTCACTTATTTCCAATCACCCCAGATATTAACCTTGGTAACTCTATCTCAATTTATGAGGCAGAGTTACCCCATAAATTTAGGTAAATACCTCATTTTGAATTTTCCTCAGAATTCAAACTGAGGAAAATTAGTTCATATCATATATGACTAGCAGTCTGAGGGTTAAGGATGAATGAAAAAACGGTATAAAGGTAACAGCAGCAAGTGTACTAAGAAAAACAAGAGTAAGAAACAATTAATAAATGAGCAGTCACGATTATTAAGATGCCATTAATTTAGAAACTGTTCCAGTCTAGAGGAACGTGGCAATAGACACCATTAAACTTAATATCCAGCACTAATTTTAACTGAGACAAACACAGGTATCCAACATCCCTTCAAACAATAAATCACTATTTAATATTACAATAAATTAGCCTACAATTAGGGATTATTCACTTAAGCTATCACAATCTATTGAATCATAAATGTGTGTCACTGCCTGATATATTAAACACAGCATAACTAAGTCAATCAATGACTACATAATAGATATTAGCAGCCCTCATACTGTCATACTCACAAACTGTTTTATGTTAAAGAGCTGTCGAGCTGGGCTCCCATCCACTAGACACAGTGGTGACAAATCCTTATTTAATGACTTTCTTCCTACTGGCTACAACTTCTAAAAGCTATCAGTAGGAAGTGTAGGACAGTCAGTTTTTTACATTATTCCTATCAATCCCTATTCTCAAAGTTATACATATAATCCACAAACTGGCTACCTTAATTACAGACACTAGCTAGGGAGGTTTTTAGATGTGGCACCCTCTCATCAGCTGATCGTCTAAACAGATTTAAAAAATAACTGTTATTTTCTCGCCTAGGGGTTCTGATCTACATAAGAATAATTATTATTTCTAAAACATATTGACTAGGTCTGCTGGTTGCACAATATTCCAAATCATAGTCAATATGCAAATTCACGACATGCAACATGATAAAGCCAGGATATGCAAATTAAATTCTAAAAATCTATTAAATGTATGTTTTAGTTACATTTGCATAATCTATTCAACTTCACTAATGGCAACCTTCTCTCGCACAAGACAGCACATATATGACTTATTGCTTATAGTCACTATTTTGCTTATAAATAAGTATATATCTGACATATTCCAAGCCATATTTTTTCAAGGCACTAACTTTTTCTCTCAGTTTTATTAAACAACTTATATTTTTTACAAAATTTGAAAATATCCTGAGTTACTTTACAATTTATTTATATATTTTAGTTTTGTTTTATTATTTTTATAAAATTGTAATATCAATATGGGTATAGGTTCAGTACTAATTGTAATATCTTAACATACTAAGAAGGTTAGGTTAGGTTGTGGTTTTCTTCTCAGCTTTTCAAGGTAAACTCAAATATTCTCAATAAATTAGTATGTCACATATACACTTATTCATAAGCAAGATATTGACTACAAGCAAGTGCGAGAACGGGTTGCTAATATACATGCCAATTAACTAATAATTCAACCATGACTCATTATGTTTGTAAATCATTATGTAAGTAACTGCAAGCAAATTTACGTTTACTAGCCACTTCAAACAATTACTGGTCAACCCAAAAACATGTTTTAAGCAATATAAAATGCAATGTACTACTTCAAGATGATCACCATTACTTAACAATTGAAGGCAGAAAATGGGATGCATATTAAACACTGGACTAGGCATGGGGTAGCAACAGAAATATCTTTAGATTTCAGTTATAACGAGGCTACTCCCTCGTTCCTAGCATCCTTTCACATGTGACTGCTTGAAGAGTAGTCACATTTTCTTTATATAAAATGCGTAACTATTTCAGTTTTAGTTTAGTTCATTGACTA